TAATTTATGGATGATGATAGGGATGGTGGTGGTAAAAGTCACATAAAGTCAAATTTGTTTTTTCTTCTGGCTTTTATTAAGTACAACTGAGTTGGTTCCAACTCATAGTGACTCCTGTATAGCGTTTCTGAAGAGTGGCTGGTTGGTTTGAACTGCCGACCTTGTGGTTGCCAGTCCAGTGCTTATCCAACAATACCACCCCAGAACTCATATTATAGGAGGAAAAAATTAATCAAGTATCATAGGAAATCAATACCTTTTGGCTTAGAAATCTCTTGTTTAATGGTGAGGAAGCTGAAATCCAACTAGAAAGATAAGGGAGGTGATGAAAGCCCCCCTGAGGAGACCCAGGAGTCCTGAGCCTCAGAGCAGAGAGCACTTTCATGATTTCATACATCTTCTGATAATGGCAACTCACTTCAGATATTTTTTCTTTTCTTCTGGGTGAGACATATTTTCAGCTCTGGAGGTTATTGTATTAAGATAAAATATAGAAAATTTATACAGCATGTACAAGTTCAAAAATATGTAGCTTGGTTTTGTGGTTAGTTAGGAAGCCTTGAGCTTACAAAGCTCCAGAGAATGGTATAGGAAGAGGGAAAAGGAACAGGAGGCAGATACGCGGTGTGGTGGAGTAACTGATAAAAGGCAAAGTGGGGGAGAAAACCACAGAGAGGCCAGGGAGAAGGAGAGATCAGCAGGAAGACAGGGAAAGGCTCAGAGAGCTTCAGCATTACTGGTGGTCAGCTACTATGCTTGTAGTTTGCGTGAATTATAGGCTTCCAAGTGTACCTCCTGTTTTCTACTACTCTGAAAGCTTGATTACTATTCATGGCTCTCCAATTGCTTTGGAACCTTTGCCTCTCCACTGTATCAGATAAGAACCAGAACATTCTGCTAAAGCATGATAAGAACTTTCAGCACAATAATAACCATCACAACAGATCATCTTTCACCAAATAAAACCAAACCCACTGCCATCGAGTTGGTTCCGACCCAGAGTGACAGTAGAGGACAGAGTAGAACTGCTCCTTTGGGTTTCTGAGAATGTAAATCTTTACAGGAGAAGACTGCCTCATATTTCTTCAGTGAGATTATCTTTAAGTCTCAAGAAAATCAAATCAACAGGCTATTATTCTTTCATACCAATTTTCTCCAACCTTGCTTAGAAGAAGGAGCATTAAATTTCAGTCTGTCTTTTATTGTGGGATCTGTAATTGACACTGGACTTCTTATAATAGGATGTTCTTGATCATTAAAGAAGATATGAAATTTAAATCTTATGACCTCTCTTCACTTGAGAAATACACCCTGAAAAAGGTAAAGTCACTATTGGTCATGACTGTGAAATTATTTAAGGCAAATGATGATCTCCCTAGGACGATGACATAGCATTTGCTTCTAGGGATGACTTTTACAAGATAGCAAGTCACGCTATGCCCTTGTCCACAAATAAGGGAAATTTGTATTATACTCAGTTTTGCTCTCACACTTTCCAGAAAACTTCTTATCTAATACTGTAATCAGTTTGAATAATATTTATCATCTTCACATAGTTTAAGACATATTCAAAGAAGAGATTTATTTTGTTACTTTTTAGATAAATTACAAATGGATTGTCCTTATTACCGATTACTCATGTTGACTTTTCACTGTTTTACATGGATTTCTGATACCTCAGTGTATCTATAACCAACTTACTTAATGAAGAATGGTCACTTGGAGTTACTCTTGGCATCAGCCTGCCATTAGTCTTTTCTGCTGCCTTTGCCTGGTTACTGATGCTTACTTTAATACAAATAGTCTGTTCCCATGTGAACCTCAGATTTGAATATGGATACCCAAGACATCAGAAATCTAAGTTATGGGGTATAGGTACATTGTTCAGTAGAGAAAAGATACCACCCTTAATTCTTGGGATTTTGAACATACATTCTAGTTGGAAAGGCAGAATATATGCATAAGAAAGGAATATTGCATGTTGGAATTCATTTAATAAACACTGGTATAGTTATTAACCTTAATTTCCATTCCAATGGAGTTCCATTCCACAACCAGATTTAAGGAAGAAATAGGAATATTATTATTCGATTCTAGATTAAGAAAGTGAGGCTCATAGAATTTAATTTACTTACCCAATTATTGTACTACCATTTATTTTAGTAGAAGAAGCATTTTTTTTAATCTGTGATAAAAATGTTTACATGTATGCTTAAAACATTTCTATAAATAGCTAGTTTAGAAAATTCCTAATTTATTTTTTTATTGACTGTATTTGAAATACAGGCAGTCTGTGTTACAAATGTGTTTCATTTCTAAATCTGTCTTTAAGTGGAATTTAAGTCAGTTAAGTATGTTTCGTATCTAATGTCATTTAGTCAAATATTTGTCTTAGTATATAATGTACCTTTCTATGGAAAAAATTAAATACTTTCAGATACCCTAAAACATTTTTAAAATAACAATGCAGTGTTAATAATAATAATAATAATAATGTTTTGATGCATGTCTCAAAGAAGTGTCTGTTTGTTTCTAGGAACCATTATATGTACCTCAAAAATTTAATATGCCAAGTTTAACTGGTGGGGGTGGAAGTGTAATGATGTGGGGGTTGGTTCATAACTAGAGATTGTATGTAAGCTAGATGTTTGTAATACAAGGAGGGCCTGCATTTTTAATATAGTCCATCTACATTTTTTTTTCATAGCTTTTAACTTATTTTCATTTGAGAGGATACTTGGTCGTCAGATGAAGAAATTAATTAAACTTATAGGAATGGTGAAACCAGAGGAATAAAGAAAGTGGTGTATATCGTTTAAGAGAAATGTGTGAGGATTTCTTAAATCTAAAGGCTTTTTCCTTTTGGTCTAAACCATTGACAGTGTGAAACACAGTAGTTCGCAAGAAAGGTAGTGCTGTAGGTGAAGGACTTGAAGCTCCGCAGTCCTCTTCCAAAACATAATAGAAGAAAATCAACTAAGAAGATGGTGCTACAGATCAGAATAATATACTAACAAGAGGGAACACTAGAGCAGTAAAGTTATAATAAATTAGTGCCCAGGAGACAAGATCTGTGAAGCAGAATATCACAAACACGCACACACACACATTCTGATGTATGAGATACACACATAAATGTATGAATGCAAACACATGCAAATGCAGAAACATTTCAAGCAAGTGATCCAAACAATTCTTTTTGTGACCATTTTAAATTATATATGTTACTTTGGCCAGCATTCTTGGCCAAAGCAACTAAAGAATGAATTGTACTTGGTGATGGGTACATAATACATACCCATCATTGTGCATAATCATTGTGCTTGGTGATGGGTATATAATAATAGATATGATAAGTTTTGTCTTCTAGGAGCTTAGAGTGTAGTGGAGGAGAGAGGTATTATTGAAGTGATTTGGTGAAATGAATGAGACATTCACAGAGAATTTTGTGATTCTGGAGGAGAGATAGCATGTAGCACTTTCTGAAGGAGTTGATGGCTAAGCCAAGTCTTGAAGAGCAAGCAGCAGCTTGGCAAAAGGGCAGAGAGTGAGATGGAGGTCCTTTCAGACTACAGCATGAAGGAAGGCCAGGAGCTTGAAACATAACGGTGTATGTGGTCTGCAATTACTAGAATATAGTGATGACGGAGAGAAAAAGTTGATGGTGCAGAAGTAGCCAGATCTAAAAGGGCTAACTGGGCTTTATACTACCAGTAATGATGAGCCTATGTAGGGTTTAAAGCATGCAGATCATATTAATACTTTAGCAGATCATTCTAGTTGCTGAGTGGAGAATGGCTTTTACATGGACAAGACCAGAGATTTAGATTTCATTTTAGAGCTTCTTGTAGAAATGTAAGTGAGAGAGCTCAGGGTGTGAAGCAGTCGTGATAATGAGGACTGAGAAGTTGTGGAGGATTTTAGCAACATTGAGGAGTTGAATGGAGAAGATCTGATACTTACAGAATGTGGAGGGATGACTTAGGATTTCTCAGAGTTTCACGTTGGGTGATGCATTATGTGCCTGTGTGTGGTGGTAAGGCTTCGATGGAGAAGGGATAGGAACTGGTTGGGCAGGTTGGGGATGTGGTCAGGTTAGCTTAAGGTGACTGTGGTTTATCTAGGAGCACTATACATGGATATTTAGTGCAGTTTGAGAAACAGATGTGTGGTGACAAATTTGGAAGTTGTCAACCTATACCCATCACCGTCGAGTTGATTCCAACTTACAGCACCCCATGTGTTACAGAGTAGAATTGCTCCATAGGGTTGTCTTGACTGTAATCTTTATGGAAGTAGATCTCTGGGCTTTTCTTCTCTGGGGCTTCTGGGTGGGTTCCAACCACCAACCTGTAGGTTAGTGTTGATGTTGATGTTGTTGTTTTTAACTGCAATGGAATGGGTTTCAACTCATAGCAACCCTATGTAGGATTTGTGAGGAGCGACTGGTAGGTTTGAACCTCCACTCTGTCAGTTAGCAGTCCATTGCTTAGCCGATAGCACCACACTAGGACCTCTGTTATGTTAACTGGGTCAGCCTGTACTAAACACACCAAACCTATTGCTGTCAAGTTGATTCCATTCTGCCCCATGGAACAGCTGCTAGGTTTGAACTGCTGACCTTTCAGTTATGGAGTGGTTTACTTACTATGCCCCCAGAGCTTCTTTGTCGTGTGATAGGTGGTTTGGAATGGAAAACACAGCCTCTTCTGTGTAGTACATGTTACAGTCTTATCCCTCTCGTTTATATCCAAAGATAAAGATTTATAGCTGAATACATAAATGTAATTAGTATTATACCTCCTGGTTGTACATAAACAGCAGCGTGATCACATGTGACAAGAAATGCTTTAAGAAAAATGCAAGTAACTAAGTGCCTGCTGTTGCCTTCTTCCAGCTGTGTCCATGGAAATGCCTGTCTCAAAGGGATACTGCTTCAGTTGACCTTGCACGACACATTCTTGTAAGGACCCTGGCTCTGAAGTTTTGTCTGGTTCAAAATGGCAGAAAAGCCCCCACCTGGCTTAAACAGGAAGACTTCAAGGTCAACACTCTCTCTTCCACCGGAACCTGTGGACATTATTAGGAGCAAGTCGTGCTCTAGGAGAGTGAAGATCAACGTGGGGGGCCTCAACCACGAAGTTCTGTGGAGAACATTGGACAGGTTGCCCAGGACGCGCTTGGGGAAGCTTCGAGACTGCAACACCCACGAGAGCCTCCTGGAAGTATGCGATGACTACAATCTGAACGAGAATGAATATTTCTTTGATCGGCATCCAGGAGCTTTCACGTCTATTTTAAATTTCTACCGGACAGGCAAACTCCACATGATGGAAGAAATGTGTGCGCTCTCTTTTGGCCAAGAGCTTGATTACTGGGGGATTGATGAGATCTATTTGGAGTCTTGCTGCCAAGCCAGATACCATCAAAAGAAGGAGCAAATGAATGAAGAACTGAGACGAGAGGCGGAGACTATGAGGGAGCGAGAGGGAGAAGAGTTTGATAATACCTGCTGCCCTGAAAAAAGGAAGAAACTCTGGGACTTGCTGGAGAAACCAAACTCATCAGTGGCTGCAAAGGTAAGAAAAACATGGTGTTGTTTACCTTTATGTGCTCAGGAAATGTGTCACTTATAGTCCAGAGAGTTTGATTTTCTTCACTTAAGATGTTTCTTTAGGACAGAACAAAATGTCACTACACAGATGACATCCTTTCCAAAACCTTACTCAGTCAAGTATCATTGTTTTTCATGGGGAATGCCCTAAATTGGCATGACTCTTTCATAAATATCTTCAGTTGTAGGAACAAGGCTAGGCAGCAGAGTCCCAATAGAGTTCTGGTTTCCTTAGTGGTGTGTGGTGTTGGCCCTGTTTGGGATGAGGAGGCACTAGATCAGGCCCAGGGGGCATGGAGGTTTGCAGAGGGCCAGGGACTGGGCTACAACTAGAATGAAGGGAAGGTGCCTATCACTGGCAATAGAGAAAGTGTCTCCTGTCCTGGTTCTGTGGCTGTTCAAGCAATGCTCATGGCCCAGTGAAGCTCAGGGGACAAGGAGGCCGCACCATGAAGAGGGGTTGTATTACTAAGCTTTGGAAGGAAGGACTCAATGTCCAGAATGCACCCATTTTCCTTCCCTTGGAAAGCCTGGTAGTGATGCATCTGACTGCTGATGTACAATCTTTTCACAGTTGAGATAGTAAAATAGTTCAATGTTCATTATTATTTGCTTAAAATGAAGGTAAACTCAAATGTTTCCACTGTGTATATCTGAAGCTCAGAGTACAGTTTTGTTACTAATTTAATTCATCAGACTAATTAAATTGCAGGATTCTGGTGGTCTGTTATTTAGAGTTTTGAGTGTTAACACAAATAGATTTTTATCTTGTATATTTAGTTCTGTATTGCAGTCTGAATTATAAAAGTCAAAAGAGTCATCTTTAGCCACAGGAGCATAGAATCAATGTTTTGTGCATAGTAGATGAAGGTGGAATATGGATTGAAGATGGGGAGTGGAATATGTCATCAGATGAATTCTTTTGATTACTTACATTTTTTTCAATTACACTGATTCTTGTAAACAATAATGAGTACAGAAATATAATAGGTCATATGTGCTTTTTTATTGGAAATTAACATTCTACATGACAGTCTCCCACACGTAAATAATTTAAATAATCAGCTGAATGCAGATGATAAGAAATCGGCTTCGTATGCATGGTTTGTTACGCCTAGTTTGGAGTCTTGTTGATTTCTGAAGAGATTTTACTTTCTACCTAGAACATGGAACTGCATGAAATAGCATATCTTTCCGTTGCACCTAATGAGAAAATGCATATTTTATGGTAAATGGAAGCTTTCAACTAGGTTGTGTGTGTGTGTGTGGTTATGAATAATTTGTTTACTTTTTGTTGTACCTATAACATAGAAAGAAATGTGCTCTATTTGTGGGTTTGAATTGAGGAAGACCATTGCTGTTTCCAGTGTCAAGTGTTTACTTACATATATGTAGGTAAATATGTAAATATTTGCTTGTATATTTGTAAGTACTAAAAATAGGCTGCAGACTTTTAAAGTAAAAGTGAGAAACCCTGAATTTCTAAGTGAGGTGTTGGGATGTTAACTCTTTCCAGCCTTTAGGCAACTGAGGAATAAATCATTGTTTTACAAAAAAACTCCAGAGGGAGTTGGCCAACTATGTAAAAATAAGCAGCTTAATCAAAGAAAATATGAAAGATTAATGTGGTTTACTTATTTGTAACGATATTAAAAACACACTTCTAAAGTTAATACTGGAGTCCTGGTGTGGCACTATAGGATAAACACTGGACCAAAAGACTAGTTTGAGCTGTAAGGTCGACAGTTCAAACCCATCAACTGTTCCTTGGGCTATTTAGAGTCGCTGTGAGTTGGAATCGACTAGATGGCACTTAACAACAATAGTAACAAAGTTAATAGGATTGCAGAAAAAAGTTAATATGCATTTATTTTGAAGATTTATAGGTTGGATGTAATAGAATCGATAACCTCGTTTTCCAATGAGAGAGTTCATTAATCTTTAAATTCTAGAAGTAGTCGCCATTTCTTGTTTTCTAAGAACGTGTGATTATAATGATTTGTTAACACTATGCCATTCTATGCCATTATGCATCACACAGACTTTTAAAAATTTGTTTCAAATTATGTGTGAATGGATATTTACCTACAAACTATACTTAGCTAAGGTCAGTGGTTTGGGGAAATTTTATAGAATTATAAATAATAAATGTTTCCAGTTTATTAATAAAACTAAGAGAACTTCGCTAACTTACGTTTATTCTTTACTCAGTTTCGTAAAGATGCATGTTTGTTTATGTGTCTATATTTTCCTCTGTTTGAGTGGCCTAACATGATGGAAATTACTTACATTGGCTGATAACGGCAGTTTAGTGAAACGATTTCTCATTTGTGTGAGGCTTAGAGCCTTTTAAAACTAGCTCTGTGTGTTGTCTTATATAAGTCACCAGCTTTTCCAGTATTCTTCTCAAGGCATATAACTTGTTGTTTCCCAGGATAATTCTTAATGAGGGAGTGCTAATACTGGGTATATGTGAATAGTATTCTTCTTACAACCTGGAGACCAATAGTTGTATTAAAACTGGAGTGTGATGATACTCTAGGCCTCACTGTGTATTTTGTACTGTGGGCATGTCAGATTCATTAATATATGAAACTCTTACAAAGGAATGCTTTACTTGCAATCTGTTTTCCTAATTTGTTTAGGAAATAATAGATCTTTGGAGGTGAATATATGTTTACCTTATTGTTGTTGTTGTTGTTAATTGCCATTGAGTGAGTTCTAACTCATAGTGACCCTATATAGGGTTTCCAAGGAGCACCTGATGGGTTTGAACTGCTGCCCTAGCAGTTCAAAGTCCAGTGCTAATCCTACATCGCCTCCTTTCCAATTATTTCTATTCACCTTGGTAATGAAGTTGAACACATTTGAGATACACTAAATGTATTATAAATATTAGATACTTAGAAAGACAATCCTCTCTCCAGAATTTAAAAAATATATATATTCTTAGTTTAAATAGGGATTTCATGTTTTTAATTTTATAAGATCAAAGTTCTAATTTAGACTAATCATCACTAAGGATATAGGCAAACTGTGGGCAAAGTTGTGTATTCAAGACTGCTCTTTGCAGCAGTGGTTATAAAAAATTTAAAAAAAAAAGAAGAAGAAGAAAACATAGGAAACAACCTAAATGAAAGAAAACAACGTAAGTATCTAATGATAGATAAGGAATTGGGTCATTGCATTTTGTTGAGTCCATATAATGGATGACTAAGAGGACATTGCAGTGAAAATATAGATTTGACATACATAGATGTAGATGGTCTCTTCATTATGTTGCTGGAAAGAAGTAGTTTACCCCAAGCATGGGTCTACTTGGGGCAAAATGTTCCTTGGAAAATGGAATTAAAAGCTAATGGCATTTTTCCATGAACTTTTTGAAGCCCCCATATATTTTTGTAATAAAAACATATGTAAGTACTTATCATTAACATAAATATGCAGAGAAAGTAAGTCTGGAAACTTGTACATCCAAACGTTAGCAATAATTAAGTCTAGATGATGGAATTACATGATTGCTTTCTTTTTTGGTTTTCTCATTTTTAAAACTTTTTATTGTGAATTGGGTGAAAGTTTACAAAGCAGATCATCACTTTTCCATTCAACAGTTCATACCCATTTTGTTTTGTCTCACTGATTGCAATCCCCTCCTACCCTACCTGTGTTTCCAGCTTTCATTCCTCTTTTCCTGACCGGTCTGAACTTTGTCCTTGGGTAAATGCTGCCCTTTAGATCTCAAATGGTAGACTGTTCTAAGGCGTGTGTACCTCGCTGGTGTTATTGTTCCCTTATAGACCTGGCTATGGTTTGACTGAAAAATTGAGCCAGGGAGGCAGAGTTCAGTTCTAGCCCTAAAGGACAACTAAAGGCGATATGATGTGGTATTCCACCAGTCTCGATTTGGCCAGTAAGTTTGGCCTCTTGAACGGTTTTGAGTTTTGTTCCACAGTTTTTCCTCCTACTATAGCTTATATTTTATAATAAAGAAATTATGAAAGTTATAATGAGATTATTTGATAAATCCTTTGTATAGAAGGAAAACCTAATTAAAAGACTTATCTCTATTCATTAACATGGAATAAAAACTCACTAATTTATTAGATAATAACTCTTCAGCCCATGCCGTATGCATCCACTATGAAATACAAAACTACCAAAAGACCATGTGACCTCTTCCTCAGCCTTTGACTTTGACCCTGACATTATCTATTTGGCTCTTACAGGAAGTTCTTGGTGTCTCCTAAGGACCCACTTCTATTAATTGATGTTTCTGGTATACTCATAACTGAAAACAGGTCAAAACAAGGGTTAAAATTTGTGATATATTTGAAATGTCTATATTTAACGAATTAGCACTTTTATGCATATATATAAGACTATGAAATATATTTATAATTTATATATATATAATATAATATAGTAACAATAGGGTAGATACAAGTTGTCCAGAGTGTGGTGTGATGTGGTAATGGGTTGTTTCTGTTGATGGACTTTATCCTCTTTCAGTCCTCTCAGTGTACCTTCATGACTATCTATATAACCTCATGTAGAGATAATGAACAAAGTTGAAATTTGTTTGTGAATGTGTGACCCAGCCAAATGGATCCAGGGAATCAGGTTACCTTGACATGGAATTGCTGGCTCTGGTATGCTTGTCATAGGAACATGCTAGGAACTTGGCTTAACTGGCTGCCAGTTTCCTGGGCAGTGAATTGGAATTAGACTTGGTCCTCTGTCTCTTCCAGAGTAGAGCAATTTACTTTTCTTCTGGACTCGAAACATTTCTCTCTCTTTTCTTTGGCCTCTTCCCAAAAGAACTGTAGTAGTTTCCCCTTTAAATATTGCATACATCCACATTAGCCTAAATCATGTTTGAGAGCATTAAAGAGAGATGATGTTGTTGTTAAGTACTTTTGAGTCCTTTCTGACTCATAGCGACCCTGCATAGGGGTTCCAAGGAAC